CTGTATATGTATATATTTGTTGAATGACTTGTAATGTTATTGTTTATGCTTAATGGTCTGTATCGGAACATGACACCCCGAGTTTTGATTATATAATGAAAATACATTTCTTTTATGAAATGCTTTGGTAAACATTGTTTTATTATGTTTTGTTTTTGGGAACAAATTCCGCAACTCTTTCAAATCAAAAGGATTTACTCTGAAATTATTTTAAAAGCATAAATGAAAATCAGTCTTTTCTGGCCGTGATTTTGGGGATGTCACACACCAATGCATTGTTTGAATCTAACATAACCTTCAAAAATTCTATAATCGGGAGATCATATGGTCTTGAACTTGATGTAGAAGCGTTTGTTGATCCACTGAAAATATTATAAAAAAAAATAATTATTGTTAGTAAATAAAATTAAATGAAGTGAAAATATTTATTGAAGTTAATTGTAAAAATATACCCAATACTTGTCGATCTATTTGAAAGCTCGTTCTCCGTATCATATATGTATAACTGATTGAATTTTGGTCTTGATACACCTGTAGGTAGAAGACTTCCCATATTATGATAATTTTGACCGCTAAGTCTGAATATGTATGGTGCGTTGCCTGTGTTGATAGATGAATCAACTTTGCCTCCCATTGATGTAAATGAAAACATTGAATTGTAACGTCGAATGTTCTTCATGAAGTATTTGCTTTTAGAATCTATGGAACGGTATAGATTTTTGTAAGATAACGGTGCTTTTTTTAAAGGTGGTAGCTCAACTTTTCCGTAACCACAACATAAGGAATAAGATGTATTCCTTTTTTGTTTTCCTCTAACCAATTCATCTGTCGATAGTTTTGCATGACACATCTGGCATATAACAAGCTGGTCTCCATGATCCAAGTAATCTGTTGAATTCCATAAATAATAAAAATTCATGAATATAAATAAAGAATAAAAAATAAGTAATATTAAATTTTATATAATTATGATCACCTATCGAAGTACCGCGGAAAACATCTTCAATAATATGGGCATCATTAATATCTTCATCTAATGTCAAGTCAAACATAGGAATAGCACATATATGTGTAACCTTCCTTTTTAATTGATATTTTCCTCTTGGTAACTTGATTGATGATGATTTTTGAATGATGGTTGAATAACCGGTGGATGTCATGCCAATATCAAACACCGAATTATCATTGTTAATAGATAGCGGTGTTTGAATGTTATTATTAAAAATATAATTTCCTGATAAAATAAAAATATTAATTATAATGTTAGGAATTTTTATAAATTATATAAATACGAAACATATGTTTTAGAATTTGTCTATAAACAAATACATACCATTTGAAATGTTAGATAAGGGAGTTCTAACATATATATTTGTAGAAGGAGAATGAATAGTTGTATGTTGATATACAAATGATTTGACCGACTTTTCGTTTTCCTTATTTGATGTAACGTTTCTATAGTTATCTATAGATACTAAATGACGACGACGATTGTAGACATCTGTTATGTAATGAGAAAAAAATAATTAGTAATAAAACAAATAAAATTAATTTTTAAAAAGAGAATAAAATTAATAATACAAAATTTCGATATATTTTATATAGTTAAAAAATAATTGTATAAATAATGAATAAGAATACCGTTATTCGATATTTTAGAAACACGTGTAATAGAAGATTTTTGATGCGTAGTTGTATTACAAGTTATTTTGGATTTTTTATCATCCAAATATAACTTTCTAATTTTTCTCCTCTCTTTAGCGTTAGTAAAGTATGTAGTGTTAATTGAACCTCTAAAATAATAGTAAATAATTTAACGACGTTTAGTTATATAAAGTTCAATATATTATATTGTATAAACGTTTATTTATTTTTAAAATAATTATGAAGAACACATTAAAAATAAATAAATAAAACATATTACATATGTAAAACAAAGTAAGAAATTACTATATTCGCTAAAAGGAATAGCATGGGCAATAGGTATATGTTGAGACGATTCCGCGTTATAGTTTTTCTTGGATTTCTTATTATCCAAGTATAACTTTCTTTTTTTTCTTTTTTCTTTGGCATATGTGGTATCCATGTTCTTGTTTCATATATAAAAAAAATAACATTAAAAAAATTAATAATTTAAAGATACCCATTACAAATGATTAGTAACTTATGTGATACGTATAAACTTTAATTAAATAATTGATTAATAATAAAATAGCAAACAAACAAATGGTAGTTGTAAATCATAATGGGTAATGAGTTATATATATATATATATATATATATATATATATATATATATATATATATATATATATAAAGATATTTTATTTATAAATTAAGACATTTTTTATGTATAAATTAATAATAATAGTTAATATTGTATAATAATATATATAAATACAAGCAAATTAATAGATACGACCTATAATTTTTTTTCACTTAACATTGTTATCAAAAAAATTATTTTCACTTAACATTTGCCGGCATCCCAATATTTCCCCCTTTCCCCTTTGTCTGTAAAAGAAACGATGTAAAACAAACCAGACCTAGAATCGATTACATACATATCTCGAGAACCACCGATGAAAATCTGAAACGGTGTCAAAGATTCTCCATCTAAATCGATAAAGAAATATACTACTACACAACCGATTAGAAATTTGAAGTGAAGAGAAGCTTACATCCAGTAATAGTTGATGTCGAACTCAGAGACTAAAAAAATGCAGCTTTGGCAGTTGAAAAAATGACGATCAGAGGTGAGAGAAGATCAATTGATTGTTAATCTTAGTTTTTGTAAGAGAAAATACATTTTATTAAAGAAATCTTACCTGATTTTATTTCTCCAGAAATCTTGTATTTGAAGATGTTAGCGAAAACTGAAGTTGTTGAAAGGAATGCCTTGAAATTCTTTAAGAGCGGAAACACAATCAGGTAGATATGCTTTTGGTTCGAAATTTGAAATTTTTTTGTGTTTGTTTAAATATTTGAATTTTGAATTTGTGAAAATTTATACATAATTTGGTGCAAAATAAATCACGGGATAATATATGAGTAAATAAAACAGTTACTGTAGTTGATATACCTTCCAAATTATATGACATTTGTATAATTGTATATTTAGGGTTTCAATTTTAGGTATAATACATATGATCTCTATATCATCAATTACATCTAAGAAATAAGTTTAATATTAAAGTTAAAACTACACCCAAACACCAACAAATTGAATTTTTCTTACCTATATATTAGCGGATATTCATCATAACAAAAGAGAAATTACAACAATAGAAGAGATGGCATCCCATTCCAAGAATATTCTTTCAAAATTCCTATTTCAAAGGCAGTTTAGCTATTGGTGCTTTGTTGGGATACAGTAGAGGTTGGTTTTAAATTTTAATTCATACCTGAAGAAACAATTTTGACATTCTGTCAATAATCCATCTGATCATATGATTTATATCCAATGAAAGTTTTCTCAGGTTTGCTTTATGATGGTCTAAAGGCATTCTTTAAGGGCTCTCCAAATATGAACTCACTTGTTGGATTTGGATCCATTTCTGCTTTTATGATAAGTGTTGTAAGCTTCTCATTCGTAGACATCATATTTTTATCAATTTTTCAACACGTCATTACATGTTTTATACTACTAATACATTCTCCATCTTCTAGATCTCACTTCTTAACACTGAGCTTGGATGGGATGCCACATTCTTGTGTTCAAGGGAAAGTTATTGCTGGAAGAAGTGTTGTGGATGAGTCTATGCTTATTGGTGAGTCTCTTCCTGTTTTTAAGGAAGAAGGGCTTTTTGTCTCAGCTGGAACAGTTTGGATGGGTAATATTTTTTCATTCCAAGAATGTCTTTAACCACATCCAAACACCAAATATTTGAATTTTTCTTACCAATATATTAGCGGATATTAGTCATAACAAAAGAGAAATTCAAACAATAGAAGAGATGGCTGAGAACCTCCAACAATTTTGAAATTTGATGATTTTACCCTTTAGTGCATCTCTACATATAACAAACAATTTATATATACTGTTTGCATTTTTCTAATTTTCAGAATGAAATTTACAAAATTATGCGTATTCGTACATACAATCATAGTTGTGTCATTATGCCTATTTTGTAATTTGACGATTTTACCCTTTAGTGCATCTCTACTATAAGTGTCGATATTGTTCTAATTTCTTGGCATGGTTTTTGGATATATTTCAGCCTTTATGACTAAAGAATGTTGCTTTATTTATTTCAGGATAGTGATTTTTTCTATCATGCTCAAAACAGTGCTACTTCTCAATTGAGAGAGTATGTGTCGCTTTATAAACTTTAAATCTTTAAGATTCACAAACTTTACATTCACATATACTTAAATGCTTAATAAATTATAGTCAAATATAAGAAAAAATTATTTATTTATTCCTTCTTGTGGCATCAGGTGATCCAAATATCCAATTCCAACATTATTAAATTAAATAATCTTATTTGTTTTATTGATTATTTCGCAGGAAATGTAGTAAAAGGTGCCGAGAATGGTTTAAAAATGGATGAAGGGTTCAAATGTACAAACACAAGCAATATTTCGTTATGGACATGTGATTGTTATGGTTAGTTGAAAGGTAAAAAACGTAATATATTATTTACTATGATAGTTGATAAAAAAAATATTAAACATATTGAATATTAAATATATTTGGTGATGATTTATATAGGTTCTACTTCAAAAAGTAAACAAAGTTTGAATCTTCACAATCTAGCAATCTAGCAACTTGATGGTCTCACTATTAGTGAAAGGTACTTAATACTTTTAATAATGGTATGAATATTTACTAATAGTAAAAAAGATAATAGATTGCATCAAATACTCTTTTACATAACTGATTTAGAAATTTAGTAATATGAAAGTATATTGCAGTTCAAACTCAATTGTGATATTCTTTACCTTAATGCATTGATAACATGAAAAACAGGTTTAAAAATATTTATTAAACAACAAAATAATTTCTAAATTATAAATTCATAAAATATTAAAAATGCACGATAAACATACCATTAAAAAACAATCATCCCCAACAAATGTTTAAAACCTCCAAACAATAATATCAAAGTACCGAATGAAAAATAAAATGCATAAATATTGTTTAAAAGCCATGGTTCACTACCTTATGAAACTTCAAATTAAAATAATAACTCAGCCATTTTTTTCCAACTTGACGTTCACAATCTCGTTAATGCGTCCGTCTGGTGAAATTTTTGGAGTTTTTGATGATGATAACTTTTCATTCAACTCCAAATCAAATACTTCTTCCAAATTTCTCTTCAAAACTGTTTGTGTATTGAAACTCTTCATGGGACTTGTTGCTGAGTTTTTATCAACTGTGGAAGGTGTTATGTTGTCGCCTGTTCCAGAAATTTGATCCTAAACAGAAAACAATTGTAATTAATTAATTAATTTATAAAGTGAACTAATATTTATATAATAATTAGATACAAATATAATGTGTACATCTACCTTCAAAGTCTTATTATTTTGTGTTTCAAAATCAGATTCACCAATATCAAATGACTGTGAATTACCAACCTGCATAATAAAAAAAAAATATGAACATAGGTCAGCATATTAAATAAACGTGTAAACATTTATATCAAATATTTAGACTATTATTTAGTAAGTACAATAAGGTTTATATATACATAAAAACACAAAAAATATAATAATCTCAAAATCTGAATAATAATAATAAATATAATGACCTGGGAAGCAGTAAACTTATTTTCCAGTTCTTCAATCAACTTTTCATCATCACTGACTCTACATATACTGTATTGGTTGTTCTTTTTTGAGATGTTGAAGTTTTTGATTGATATTTTAAAAGCCAACTTCAAACCTTTCAGTGCATTTATCTCTCCGGGATAAAAAGCAGTACCAAAACCAAGCTACAATAATAAAAGTAAAAAAAAGTTTGGTTAAGTAAATATATAAAGTCAATGTATTAATTAATTTTATTTATGGTGCACCACCTGCACTGCTTTTTTAAACAGTTCATTGGCTGATTTCTTCAAAAGATACTTTCCATCTCTTTCAAACATGGTTAAGGTAACAGTACCAGTATTGTCTTGCACACGTATCAGAATCATAAATCTATAAAAAAAATCCAAAATAATATTTATATATACGAAATATAACATAGGTTTAACTGATTCAGGAGGAAATTAATAACCTCGGAATAACTGAAGTTTCAGTTTTTTTGCAGTCCTTATTATGACATTCATAACCATTAGTTGCTCCAATTAAACCATTTCCATCAGGTTGATCGTCTGCACCAGGAGGCCGAAATGCTCTGTAGTTGCAATTTGTACATGCCAAATAATGCCATGGTTCATTTTGTAAAATTCCCTTTATAGTGCCCACGATAATGAATGTATTTTTCTGCATATTAATTTTATTTTAATAAATAAATATGTATAACAAAAAAAAAAGTAGAGCTATATTGATAATAAAGTATATATAAGCCGCACTTCCACAGGTTCAGAAACATCAGCAATAGTCTTCAACTGAAACTTAACCATGAAATCATCATGTTCAGAAACCTTATTAGACTTCATAAGTGTGATGGTATTCATGGATGAATCCGGGCGATCATCTCCATCCAAACTGTTAGATAAAATCAAATTAACAAATATTAGTCACATAAGATTTAGATGTAGAAATTAGAATGTAATAACATAAATTAAGTAATATTACTCACAAGAAAGTTAATTGTAGAAATTACAATGATAACATAAATTACCTTTTCTTAAAATCATTGATTTCATCAATGTCAGTGTTAATGAACAACTTTGACACGGTAAAGTAGGTGTTAACTGTGGGGTAATCTATAAAAAAGATGTTATTCATTGTTAGTGTAATGATTATAGAATAATATTTAATAAGAAAATAATACAATATACCTCTCCAAATACTAAGTTTTGCAAATTGAATGATAACAATGATATGAATATTGTGTGGGTTGTTATCAAGAAAGCCTTGCATTTTGTAAGCAAAATCACCCCACAAATTGACACTCAGTTGCAAACCACTAAAAAATAAAAGTTTTAAATTAAATGAAATGATCATTATATAATCTAATATACAAAAATAAAAATAAATTTTAACAAACTTTGCATCTTGGATTTGGAGGTTGAGCCTGTGTTTTTTCATATCAGCATTGTCTTGTACCATCTCACCAAATGCAATGATTAATCCAATAACATCTATTAACAACAACAAATATGAATGAAATATTGTTATTAACATAAAGATAAAATATTATATTCAAACAAAAAAATTGCCCATAATTAATCTATATTAAAATGCAACTAACCGATCGTAGTGTTTTGAGGATGGACCAATGAGATGATAGACTGGTAATCAACAAACTCAAAACCAAATGTAGTTCCAGAAAAGTCATGACACTCAGTAACAACAGTGTCATGAAGAAAACTAAGTTTATGTTCCTGTTGAGTTAACCTGAAAGCACCCATCTTTTGTGATGCAAAGCTTGGATATTTTATGTAAAATGCGAAGCCATCTTTTAAAATGTTTTTGAATCGGTAGATGTATTTTTTTAATACATTTGCTTGTATCTTGGTACCCCAAAAGAAATATAATATATAAAATTTATAATTAAATCATATTATATTTTAATGTGTAAATAATATATAATGTTAACTTGATAGATACCTGTTCATCTATCAAAATTAACTCAATAGAGAAGAGTTCAGCATTGTTATTAAATGAAAAAAGGTTCCATAGGTTTATCACTCTGACTTTGATAGTTGAATCATCTTTGAGTACATCTAAATCTGCAATGAAAGTAACATCTGGATGTGCCATTGATCTGCAAATAATAAAGTATGTATAAAATGTTTAGTTAGAAGGTAAAATAACAAATAACATATATAAATTGAATTAAACAACAACAATTTCCAATTTGAAGACAAAGACAAGAAGAACAGAACAAAAAATGTATGAAAAAACGGAACTATTCGTGCAATTTGATATTAAAAGAAACGAATTACAGTTTGAATAGAAAGACATGCAAAAAAGAAAACAAAGAATGTATGAAAAGATGGAAATGTGAAGTTACAAGTTAAAATAACAAATAACATAAATAAAATGAAATGAAAAACAACAAATTCCAGTTTGAACACAAAGATAGAAAAAAAAAATCAATAAAAAATGAAACTATTTGTGCAGCTTGATTTGAAAATAATTGGCTGAAATAAAAAAAACGAATTAAAGATTACATATTGTATTTTACATAAATAAATTTGCTTTTATTTAAATTTAAAAAGAGGTATAGGAGTATGATCTGAAAATAATTGTTAAGAAAAAAATAATAACTTTTAAAATAGTTACTGCATTTCCTGCAAACATAGCAAGAATGAAAGTCAATTAATTGATGTAAACATAGAATTGAACATATTATGAGTTGTGAATGATCGAAACTACCGAAAAAAAGAGAACAAAGAATGATCGAAACTACTGAAATAGATGTAGAGTTTGATGTTAAAATAAAAAAAAAAAGATTGTATTACTAACCTTTTGCAAATCGGTAGAGCAGAGCAAATAAGAAACTGAAAATTGGAGAGCAAACCAGTAGAAGGTTATGTGCAATTCGATAGGTATATATAAATATGCAGAGATTAATGAAGCACAGATTTTATTCCTGATTTTTATGGATTTGATTAGTGGGTAATTGATTTAAATTTGGAATTCAGTACAGATTTATGATTATGATCTACAAATAATTGGCAGGAAAAAAAACGAAATTGTAGTCAACGATTTGCATTCATTTGATTCCTGATTTACAGGAGTTGATAATGTGAATTGAAAAGAGCTTATATAAATCCACGATGCTGATTTATCGAGATTTTGACGATAAAAATAGGATTGATATGAGTTTTTATTTGCAGGTAATTGAAAATATGTGAGCTGATTTTTAGGGGCTGTTTCTCGATTTTTTGCTGATGTTTAGGGGCAATTTCTCGAATTTTTGGTGTAAAGAATGGGCGGGAATTTGATGCATAAGAGTTCCCTGGTGAAGACACGTGTCAAATTGGAGGTGTAAAAGAGGGACACTTGGCATCCAAAGTACTCTTTTATTAAGAATAAATGTGACAATTATTAGCCACACTTAAACGCTGTGACCAGACATCACCATCAGCTATGAATACTGATTAGCATTGTGATATATTTTTTATATGAGACAATAGATAAATATATGGTGACATGAGACAATTTTATATGTTTCTATATCATGATGTCCTTTTATACATATGAAAGTCAATGTAGCTAAAAGGTGATACATATGATCACATTAAATATTTGTGTGTCCATAGGTGGTGTTTACTAGTGACTTAGTAAAAGTAAGAAAACATGTTACTTTTAGTGGTATATGGTTATGTGCCTTTTATTATGTGTGTCAAAATATGATGAATTGACTTTAAAAAACAAATATTGTGAGTGTAAGTAGCATTTGGTTATGGTTACAATTATTATGTGTCTCTATAAATAAATCTAGGTATAAAAGACATAATATCTACATAAAACGAAAATATGTTGTTGTAAGTATTTACTAGTGACTTATTAATATATTTTGTGCTTTTTTTTTTGGGAGAGAGAGACCCTCTGATAATTTTTATAAAACAAAAAGAAAATGCTAGAAAATGATGAAGATGGCTAAAAGCGGTCATGAGAGTAATTATCTAGGGAAATCTTCAGAAAAACCCTAAAATTTTAGTCTAATTTATAAAAAAGTCCCGAACTATTTTGTGTTTACAAAAAAGCACAAAATACCGGCTAAAACTTCAAAAAAAACCCTTTTTGGCCGGTTTTATAGATTTAGCCGGTATTCTGTCCTTTTTCGTTAGTTTGCTCAAAATATTAGGATTTTTCTGAAAATTACCCGATAAACAAAATATTGAGACTTTTTTAAAAGTTTGCTATGGAATTAATGGATATTATTATTAACAAATCATTTATAAACATAATTTTTTTTTTTATTATAAACAAATGAAATACATTTGTTGCTAATTTCTAGGAATAGAATGGTCGACTATTTACATCTCTATTGTTTGTAGACCACTTCAAAGTCTCTATGTTTTTCCTATGTATCGTTGTGGGTGTCATAGTGAGAGTGAGAAGTGGTATGTTAGGTGTGACCAATACAAGATTTGATAATATTTATACACAATCAATAAGTGTTTACTTGCTATTAGGCATGATGTTATATGATCATGTGTCATCAGAAAATATCATTACACGAACATATAGATCTTTCATTATGTTCTTTAACCTAACTACTATCTAACCTCCAAACATTACCCGGTAACAACCATAAAATTACACACATCTATCGAGAGTGAAAAGTAAACTTTGAATGAAAATTTAAAGAGATATTAACCCTTCACTTGTTTCCATATAAATTATCATTTACGGTTCAGTTTTCACATTTTATAGATGTGTGTTAGCCGATGGTTGTTAACATGTAAGGTATGAATGTTGGTTGGTAGTTAGGTTAAACACCATAAGAGGAACACCAACATTAGAGGAAGGATAACTAAGTTCATATCACCATCATACCCACAACAATGCATAGGAAGAACGTAGAGAGTTTGAGTGGTCAGGAAGCAATAGAGTAGTTAGACCACCAATTTATTCCTAGAAATTATCAACAACTCTATTTTCTTTTTTTATAATAAAAATATTTTTTATGTTTATAAATGATTTGTTAATAATAATATCCATTAATTTCATGGTAATTTTCAACAAAGTACGAATATTTTGGTTATTATGTAATTTTTGGAAAAGTCCCAAAATTTTGAGCAAACTAACGAAAAAGGACAAATAACCGGCAAAATCTGCGAAACCGGCCGAAAAGGGTTTTTTTCGAAGTTTTAACCAGTATTCTGTGCTTTTCTGTAAATAAAATTTAGTTTGTGACTTTTTCATAAATTAGATTAAAATTTCAGGACTTTTTTGAAGATTTTCCAATTATCTATTCGGATAAATAATAATAATAATAATAATAATAATAATAATAATAATAAGGATTATTAGTAATTAATAAAATAAATTATATTATTATATCTTATATATTATATTAAAAAAGAGTTCATTTAAGAATAATATACTTTTGGGTTTTTAGATTTTCATCACCAAACTTTTCTTTTTTGAGACTTTTAACACCTTCCTTTTGTTCTTTGCATTGGCCACGTGAATAGTAAATTTGCATGTTTTTTTTTGTCAACTTTGCCTTTCAAATTTAGCCATTTTGACACCTTTTGTCATTACAATCAACATTTTTTTCATTTTTTAGAAACATTTTAATATTCAACGTTTGACCATAATATTTTAAAGAATTGACAACTTTTGTCCATTTTCTAAAAACTTACTAATTCCAACCCATTTAATTCTTTAACCATTTTGACACTTTTGGTCCTTACAATCAAAACTTTTATATTTTGACACTTTTAGTCATTACAATAAAAAAAATTATATTTTTTAGGAAACTTTTAATATTTAAAGTTTGGCAACAAAACTTTAAAGAATTGACAACTTTCATCCCTTTTGTAAAAACTTGCTAATCAACTCATTTAACTCTTTAGCCATTTTGACACTTTTGGTCCTTATAGTCAAAACTTTTACATTTTTTCATAAAAAACACAAAAAAATGCCCGGGGTGAAGCCCGGGTTTTTCCGCTATTTTTGATTAAATGTATACTTGCATGTCTAGGGTGCAAATTGCTATTTTCAAAAACCACTTTAGTTAAATTAAGTTGAACTTACGGTAGATTTTGTCATTATAACTAATCCCAGGGACTAGAGTTGACAAGTTTTAGAACTTCATTGTCTTCTTCTGTTTACCATCGCAGGAGCGCAACATGTCATTTTCCCCCACTTCCCTTCTCTCGGACCTGTAAGGACTCTACTTGAAAGGCATTCAACTCAACTAAAATTATCGATATAAATATCCTAGCATTAAAGACTTTAGGGTTTAGGGTGAGAGAGAGAGAGAGAGTCATTGGAATTTGTCAAGAGAGAGAGAGAGAGAGAGAGAGAGAGAGAGAGAGAGAGAGAGAGAGAGAGAGAGAGAGAGAGAGAGATAGAGTGTGTGTGTGTGTGTGAAAATAGTGTTCATCAGCATTGTCACTCAAGCAAGCAGGAACTGATGGATGGTTTAGGTCGACTCCTTCCCAATAACTGAAGAAAAACCTCGAATATGGTTGGGTCTAGACATCATCGAGCCTTCCTTTGGTTTTGTTGCCTCACCGCCGCCTCTATAGGTGTTGTTGAAACATCGATTATGGGGGAAAGAAAGCAGTCGAAAATTGGAGAATCGAAGATGTAGCTTTGGTCGGTTGGTCTTTGCGTTAAGTAGTAAGGCAGTGAAATTTAAGGGCATTTCAATATTACTGGATGATGATGGGAATTCCGTAATTGAATATATGTTCAAATGTAATAACCGATAGTTTGAAGT